CCCCCACGAGCCCCGGCTGGAGGAGACAGCGCTGCTGGCTGGCGGATGCGCCCTGCTGCCCTTGCCCCGTCCGATGCCCGCAGCCCCCCAGCACCCCTCCGCCGCTCGCCGCCTCTGTGGAGTCGTGGCACTTTTTCCTCTACGCTGGCACGGATGCTTTCCCAAGGCTTCCCTCCACTCCGCCCCCGCGGCGCAGCATGAGCCTGCTGCGGTTGGTGCCAGGCCCGCCAGTCAAGCCTGAGGCAGCCCAGTGAGAGAGGAGACAGCTGGGGGGAGGGCTCCAGGACTCCTGCGAGTGGATGAGCGGGGAGACCAATAGAGCAGCTGGAGGCGAGTGGAATTGTGGGAGTTGTAGTTTGCCAGCTGCAGGCTTTGGCTGGGAGATTAGCTATTTCGAATTTGGTGTTACTCCTCCTAGAATGAGGTTTACCAAATTGGAAATAAGTGCTCCACTATTTCGAATTTATTTCAAAATAGCGGTTTGGCTGTGTAGATGCTATTAAAGTTAATTCCAAATAACTGCTGTTATTTCAAATTAACATTGTAGTGTAGACATACCCTAAGTGCTTGATCAAGATAAGCATGTGCTTAAATGGTGGCATAGCTAGGATCTAAAAAAGGGCTGAAAGTTTGGGATCATAGGCGTTATTTTGTATGGAATGTTCAATTTGGTCAAACACTGGAACACTACTTCAGAAGTGCCATTAGGTCCTGTTTGGGGATCAAGGCACGTCACTATTAAGCTCTGTGCACACGTATCATAAATCATCCTGAGTATTTAAAGTCTGTACTTGTATACAGCAAGACAGCAGGTGGATAAAACAAACAACTGGAGGTAGAGCAAGGTAAATAGTGAAACATTCCTCATTACGGTAATAAGTAGACTTGTCAGACTTGCCCACAAGTCATATCTATTCACAAGGAGAGGCTACTTCTCTGAGAAAGTTAAGGGCTTTCTGTTCAGACCCGGCTGCTCTGAAAGATCAAGACCTGGTTTCTCAAGTCGGTCACCCAAAATTATTGGACACTTTAAAATTTGACTTTGACCTGTCTGCTTTAATTTCCCTAATGCTTCCCAAACCCCCAAAACTCAACTGTGCATTGTCACAGTTCATTAAAATGTTTGCAAAATACTGTGTATAGGTTCAAATCCTCCCACAGCCCTCCAGCTGTTGTGACTGATTCAGAATACAGTGAGACCTTCCAGTATGAACCCTCTAAAGCCCTGAGCTTGCAGTGAATTCTGCCCTGCCATGGACTCTGGAAGTGTGTGCCTGGTTTAGCAAGCACATGAGTCTACTGGAGCCAATGGGACTCCTCAAGTGTTGAAAGTGATGCATCTGCTTAAGAACCTTGCTGAATCAGGACCAAAGAGAGGGAGGGGCCGACCTACCTTTTGAGCTGACAATTTGGCCATAAAATTTAATGTCTAGGGGGAGCAGGAGGTACCCTGAGGAAGGGCCCATTGAAGTCAATGGGAAGATGACCATTGATTTCAGTGGGTGCTTAGTCAGGAGTCTCAAAGACTGCTTACATTCCCAGTGGGGCCTGGTGGGGAAGAGCTGGCTAGCAGTGGCACTGAGTGGTTAGCACCGTAGGGCCAGCCTGTGCAATGGGAGAACCGTGGTGGGCAAATAGCAGGTTCCCTGCCCTAGAGGCCCAACATTTTAAGAACTCGAGTACCAAAGAAACAGAACACTACAGTGAAGGAATGGAAGGACACGGGGCACTCTAGCTGGATGACATCACTACCCTGGCAGCCTGTTCACACTGGGGGCAGAGACAGAGGAAGAAGAGAAGCCAACTGGAAAAAAATTGAATTTCCCCAGCCTGGGGCAGGAAACTGCTCTTCTCCTGCAGCTCCACCCTCTGCTCTCCAGCAGACATGCTCAGCAGGACACAAAACCTCCTGCAGGGAGAGAGATCTCCCACTCTCAACTCAGCACTGCCCTTCCATTCCCTGGGCTGTGTATGTCCCAACAAGTTGATACAAGTGCACAGCAGGAAAGTTAGCACCTCCTGCAGCAGCTGGTGGCTGCGGTGGGATACCTCAGCATATTCCTTTGCAACAGCCATTCTCCAATTTGGCCAGGAGGTGGGGAGCACGGCATAAAAGACTCTGCCTCCTTTCCTGCCCACAAATCTCGGTACAAATGGCGTCGTGGACCACTTGTGGTCTGTGGGCCTTCTCTAGGAAGCATGGCTGTTGTTTGATTCCCAGCAGCACGCTGTCCTTTTCATCACTCGATTGCAAGCAATGTAAAACAACCGAGCTCAAGGCAGAAGGCAAAGCATCTCCTGGATGAAACGGGCAGACACAGGCAGCCGCTCTCCTGGACATACCCGTTGACGCAAATGATGTGGTTGTGTGCGCCTGGTGATGCGCTGGAAGGCTTGAAAAGGCATTTTCCCCTGAAAGGCCAGTAGAAAACAATCCCATGCAGCTCCCAAAAAGAGCACGAGGCTTTGGGACCCAGCTGACGTGCCGGTTTGTGGGCTGAAGCCCTCGGGTGGACCTTCATAATGTTCCATCTCTCAGCCCTTCAGCATGGGAGAATGAATGACAAGCCCTGAAATGCTTGTTTTCAGCATTCCGCCTCCCTTTCTCCCTGCAATGTTCCCCCTTTCCCACTCCCTGCCCCCCTCCAAATACCCATGTCCTTCCTTCTCCTTCCATTGTCTGGTAATTGTCTCTTAGGAAACATCGACACTCCCTCATGCAGGCCAGCTTTGATCAATGTAGCTGCTATAAATAGTAGTGCAGGCACAGCTGTGAAGGCAGCAGGATGGGCTAGCCCCCTTGAATACAAGCCCACCAAGGAACCCAAGATACTGAGTGGTTCCCCCAACCCCCCTGATTACACAGCTGTTGCTGGGGCACTAACTTAGTAAGCTGCAATTCACACCTCCATATGCAGGGTAGGCGTACCCTTAGCATTTCTGGCAGGTAAGCATTTATCTCTACGCATGGCCAGAATTTGATTGATTTTTTGTACCACGTTGAGAGAGGAGCTCTATGTTTATTTTAAAGCTCTTTTCCCCAGTTTTTATCACTTTAAATTTCCACAGTTGCACAAACTTATGCTGGGCTAGACCTTGGGAGGTGGGTGTTGGGCAATAATTATTTAATGACAGTAGATGCTGATGTTCCCAAAGATAAAACGTTGGAACCGTGCCATGTTCCAAGATGGTTATTTTGAC